GGTATCAACAGAAGACCAACACGAGTTCTTGTACCCCTGAGTATAGAGATACTTCTGATCAACCACTAACAGAGCCAGAACCCTGGACCCAGTGGACTAATTAACATCCTGTTAATTAACATCTTGACCCTAAAAGCACTGCAGGGAGAAGGAACTGTAAAGTCTGAAGGCTCAAAACTCTAAAGTGGCTTCCCTCTCCTGCAAAATCCAAACAGCTTTGCATTTAAGCATTTGCCGGCTACGGAAACACTGCAGATACCTTTACTGGCTGGATTCTGTCCGTCAAGCAAAAGCTGAGCCACCTTAGAGAAGTCAATTGGTCCCCTGGGCTTTCTTGCTCGGTTTCCATAAAGCTGAGTGGTTAAAAAAAATAATAATAAAGAGAGACAGACAAGCCTCTTGTTCAGTAGGAGAACTTCAACGTCTTTCAAAATCCTTGCTTCGTCTTGCCTTTGAACACAGCAGAACACTGACGAAACAGCGCTCATCCTTCGCAACCGTGCGCTGCCCATGTCAAAAAGACCTGCGTCTCGCATCGCAGAGTTCAAGACGCAGGGCTGGGTAAAAAGGCGGCTACAGTACTTGAGTGTGACTTCAACCCCCTGCATTCAGGTGGCTCACGGGGCGGGGGGGGGAGGATTAGGTGCCTTTCGTGCAGAAGGTGGCCGGTTCCTTCCCAGGCATCCCTCAACAGGGGTGGCTTCCTTCATGGCAATCCATCTCATTCCAGCTCTTCCTCTTCTGCTATTAGTTTTTCCCAGCATTATTTTCCACTGCGGCTATTCTTGCCTTCCCATAATATGCCCCAAATAAAATGTCCTCCATTTAGTAATTTATATTCCCCTTTGGGCTTGATTTGGTTTGGAAGCCACTTGTTTATCTTTCTGGTGGCCAATGGTAACAGCAAAATCCTCCTCCAACACTATGCTTCGAATGAACTGTAGACCTTGCTGAGGACGTGTCTGTTCCTATCCCCCCCTTTCAGAGTGCTCGCCCCAACTATCATACACAGCAAGTCTCCCCAATGCCCTTTACAACAAGTCAACAAAACTCAGGATCCAATAGCAATTTCTACTAACCCACTTGGGTAGGATATGAGTAGTTACAAGCATCCAGTTTACAAAGAGACGAACATTGACCCTATTCAAATTTCGTAATTTGCTCACTCGGACATAATTCTGACTTATGACTGGTGAGTGGCTATTTGTAAATCCAGTCTGAAGCATTTTTTCACACCTCCAAAACGCAGGTGCAAAGCCCTTGTGCTTTTTGCTTGCAGTTCAGCTTTTCTCCACGTAGGAAGAAAGTGTTAATTTATTTCACTTTTCATGATGCAAGGAATCAAGCAGTTTAAACCCTGTCAGACTATTGATGTTTTAATTAAGGCCTAGACAGAGCAATATAAGCTTAACTCCCTCTCTTTGATAGCGAAGCCGAAAAGTCCTGGACGTGGTGACACTTCTGGTGCCAGAGAAAAGCAAATCAAAGCCAGAAAACTCTGGAGAATGAACGCTTCTCCTGCCATCCAAGTCACGGACCCATCTGCTTCGCAATTCATATCGAGAATGGTATCAGGTATTTACAAGAGGCTCATAAATAAGCAACTGTCTCAGATCACTTCCTACTACAGAAGGGGATGTGCAGCTTTCCAGATTCGAAGACCAGCGTCCAGGTGTCAGCTGCTGCAGAGCGAGAATGGCGGTTAAAATATATCAGTAATGAGAAAAGACAAAATTGATAGTGCAGTCACACTTGGAACGAAACATAGAGTTCAGGAGGATAAATGGGAAAAAGTGAGCACAGCAGACAGAAGGCGAAGCCCATTTCCTACAGAGAGAGAGAGAGAGAGAGCTGTTCGGGAAGGGCAGCTTGAAAAGGTGAACAGCAAAGTGCGGGGAAAGAATATGATGAAGTTAAATAAATAAATATATAAATACCCGACATGGAGGAAGGGAGGGACGTGCCTGTTGGCCTCACTCAAGAGACTCAAAGACAGGTTTTCCAATTAAATTTATTGGCAAGAAATGTGAACAGATAAAAGCCTAGACATCTTTATGGTGTACTCCATAATAATTGGTGGAGTTTGTGCCACAAGGCTTTTAAAAGCATTGCAAAGGAATCCAGAGGAACAGCTCAATCACCACATGCCAAGCTCCAAGAGCCAAATGGCATTGCAGCTGGGTGGCATGAAGCTATGTGGAAGAACTTATTGATGAGGGACAAGGCATGGAAAGGGGTCCTGCTTTCTTCCTGGAGGCAACTGTTGGGCCCATGTGATGTTTCGGCCCAAATCCCCACTCTACGCTCCTTCTAAATTTGGGAGGGGGATAAAAAGACCTCCCACCTCTTCCCCTTTCTGCACATCACCAACCGAACACAATCAGCTTCCAAAAACACTGAATATTTCATAAAACAGAACCCCAATTCTTATATTTGATTGCCTGCCGCTCTGAGAAACAGGCGACCAAATATAGAACGATCAATAATGTACAAAGATAAATGTTTCATTGCTACACATGATTGCAAGTAAAACATGATTTGTCCCAGAGAATGATTGGATACGTTTGCAATTCTCTTTAAACTAAAAATTCAAAGCAAAAGCCCCACAGAGCTGAAGATACTGTGCGGGTTCCTTTTTTTAAAAAGACAAGACTTCTGGATGAGCCCAGGCAGTGAATCGAGTTCCACCTGGCCAGAAAATGACCCACAAACAGAACTGGCCCATCCCTGGCGTGCATTAAGAAAGCACAGCCGTTCCGCAGGCCAAATATCTTTCCGCACAGCTTTCCAGATCCATTTTCTGGTTCCGAGCCCTGCAGGAGGGACTGCCAACCCCAAGCGTTCCTTTGCAACCGAGGCAGCAGTGCAGCAACCATGACAGAAGCACCGCCTGCCTCCCTGCCAGCTTGCTCTTTGCAAACTTGAAAGAGACTCTGACTGTAAACCCCCCCTCCAATTTCCTCAACTCTGAACAGCGACTGCAGGGGAAACAGGCACGGAACCCAAATAAAAAGCATCTGTTATGAAAGGAAAAGATTGCGTGTTCTCAACCTCGGCAGCTCTGAGAAACCCTCTTCCTGCATGTGCAGAGTTGATATGAAGTCAACAAGGTCAAGCCACCCACTGCTGGTAGGATGTTTTATAAATAAAAAAACTTATTTTATTTGTAAAATATCTGTCTCTATGCAAACCATGCACAATTTAAAAATGCACAAACTAAAAGAATGAACAACACACACAAAGAGACACATATACACTCTACTGAATTCTAGAGAACGAGCAACCCCCCCCCCAACAAAACCCCAAAATGCTTAAGAGAGCTCCTGAATTTTTTATTTTATTTTATGAAGCCATCTCTCACTCCCTGATCTGGGACTAAATGTGAACCTTAACAAAATTTAAACAGATAGGAACAGAACTAGCTCAGGCCCTCGAGAAATCAAACCAGTAAAATGTCAAACACAGCAGACCATGTTCTGAAATTCAATTAAAGTTATCCTCCCCAAGCCCTCCAAGTTACAGCCCAACTGATAAAAGACTACCAAGGTCACATCCAGAACTGGGAAGCAACTAGCTACCTGTAGCTAGATACCTAGCTAATTATTAACTGATTAGGCCATTACCAACTAATAATTACTAATTGACTACTTATTTTTTAACATAGCAATTAATGTTAAATTAAAAGCTCTTTGTTTAGTGTTGGCAATAAGATACCAGATAAGTAATCTTAGCAGTTACAAAGTTACTTTTCAGGGTTAACAAGTAACACCTTGTTACTTCCAAATGCTCGTTTTCCATTTTAAAGTGTATTGGCCAGGATTTTCCCCTCTGTGTTTTATGCCATTCTCTCAATCCTATACAGCAAAGATATATAATATTTGGTCTTGTCTTTCCTGTTTTTATATTTCTAAGGTGCAGCAACAGAACTGGCCACTAGATGAACGCAGAGAGTATTTATCTGTATCTGGTCTGTTAGCCACAAGCAACTCAACACCCTAATAATAGACAACAAAACACACTGTGTGCATGATCAGAGCATTGATAATTGTAAAAGCAATGTGGATTGTCCAGAAGTAATGAGTAACGCTACAAGCTCCTTTTAAGATGTAACTTTCTGAGCTTTGGTCTGATCGAACAGTACCAAGAGCGTACAAACCACAAAGACATGGCCGCTTCAATCGGCAAGCCCACTTTAATCGCAGCTACGCAAGAGAAGGGAGCAGCCACTCCTTTCAACAGGGCTCCTCTTGCAACCGGAATCACACCATGGCGTGTGTCCCCAACGCATCCTCAACATTCGAAATGAGACAGGCAGAAAGCAACATCTGCAGCTGCATGATATTTATCTTTGTTGTGTCGAGAGCAGTGGAAAGTGAACAGGGAGCAACTGCCTCCCTTTTCAAAAGACTCGCTGAAATAAATGCGTCTTGCAACCTGCCAGGTTGTTCCTTAACCCCTTGGCAACCCAAGAGTTACAAATCACACCATCTGGAACACAGAAGGGCTGTCTTAGCAAGGATGCCAAAGATGACTTCCTCCTGAAAAGAATGTCCAGAAAGCTGGTCCTCAGCTTCACAGCAAAGACGTGTCACTTCCTACAGCATGACCGTCACCACCCATGTTACAAAAGCCCTGGGACTGGAAAGGAAACTTTTTTTTACTGGGCCAGTCCTAAAAGCCTCCTTTGGCTAATATTCTGCTAATACTGACTGAACAGAAACTCTCCCAGTTCGGCCTTGGCCTGTCCCACTTATCTCCAGAAGGCAGGAAATTTTAAGAGCCCTTCAGGAGGACAGAGAGAGTGGCCCAGTGAAGCACCACACACCCCATCATCCCCCTGCCCAGATCTCAAGGAAGATGGGGCCCAGCAGAGCTCAGCGCATGGCCTTCTCTTAGGCTGGGCAGGATTTTGCTCCCCGTCGGGGTGGATTTTTCTCCTTCGAAGGACCCGGCCTGCAGTCACAGTAGTCAAGAAGCAAAGCCACTCAGTGGCTCCTTACCCGGAAATCAATTCCCACTGTCGAGATGAAAGTCCCTGCCAGGAAAGCTCCATCCTTGAACCTCACCAGCAGGCAGGTCTTGCCGACTCCAGAGTCACCGACGAGCATCACCTACAGAGAAGGGGGGGGGAGAGAAATGGGAAAGTCAGTATGGGCCCATCTCTTTCCTGGCAAGCTCCTTCTGGCAGACACCATAGAATCCTAGATTCATGGAGTTGGAAGGGGGGGTCTCTCTAAGGCCATTGAGTCCCACCCCCTGCTCAGTGCAGGAATCCAATTCAAAGCAGATCTGACAGAGGGTGGTCTGAAGCACTCACCTCCTCCCCTTGAGATCGGATTCATGGAGTTGGAAGGGGGGGTCTCTCTAAGGCCATTGAGTCCCACCCCCTGCTCAGTGCAGGAATCCAATTCAAAGCAGATCTGACAGAGGGTGGTCCGAAGCGCTCACCTCCTCCCCTTGAGATCATGGATTCCGTTGTCGTACTGCTCTAACAGTGAAGATATTCAGCTGAAATCTAGCTCCCTGTAACTTGAGGCCACGATTATGTGCCCTGCACTCTGGGATGATTAAGAACAGATCCTGCTCTCTGTGTTTGGCGATTGCATTGAGATCGTGGATTCCGTTGTCGTACTGCTCTAACAGTGAAGATATTCAGCTGAAATCTAGCTCCCTGTAACTTGAGGCCACGATTATGTGCCCTGCACTCTGGGATGATTATGATCCTGCTCTCTGTGTTTGGCGATTGCGGAGGGGGAATGTGGAAATGACTCGAATTTGTTAAGCCATGGTATAAACACTGGCAGTTGGGGATAGCAAAACCACCAAGCTCTGCTCCGACCACAATCCCAGCCCATTCTCCACAATCGTGCATCCCCTTCACCATGAGCCTGCCCAGCAGAGCAAGCCAAGCTATTCTGCTACCTAAGAGGAAAGAGCCAAGAGCAGCTTCCAAAGTCAGCAAGTCTTGAGTCTGGAATGCTGTTTATTTACTTCAAGGAGAAGAGGAGGGATCTTTCTCCGTACCAGCTGCTGCGGGAAAGGTGACGTTATTGCACCCATGCCCTTTTGTGGTGTCTAATGGGCGAGCAGAGAAGAATGCTGGGCTAGGCATCGTTTGGGTCTGATCCAGCAAAGCTCTTACGGTGCCCCGGTCAAGGAGTGGTAGACTCAAGACTGGCCAGTGGAGGAGGGCCAACCCTAGATTATGTCGGAATGATTAACGCTCATCCCAAACAGTGCCTTCAGGTACAAGGCACAGCGGTAAAAGATAGGATTTGAGCCCTCTTCCACTGAAATCCTTAAAAACACTCTGTGCCAAGTGGGTAGAAAGCAGCTCTGGACCCGAATTAAATTCGCCACCTGAAGGGCTGACACAGATCTAACTCTCGCCTTGAGGTTCTTGTTTCCATCCATGCAATGACTCCAACAGAAGAACAGCACAAGCCACACACACACACACACACAGAGCGGGCAACATCCTGAACGGAAAGCCCCTTTTGCAGCTGCGGGGACTTCTCAAGCCTAGTCAGGAAGAGGAGGATAAGGATGATGAAGAAGAGGAGGAGGTAATTTCACAGACGTGCGCTCGCCAGCCCAGCAGAACTCAGCAACCCATATGGTGGTGACTGTGAGACCGAATCCAATCCCACTGAGCCTTGCTGAAGTGTTCTGGAGAACTTGAAAGGCTGCCGGCTTTTGCTAAATTCTTGTTGGCCCAAATAAAAATATGTTCCACTTGTGAATTGTGGTTTGCATTTGCCTTCAGGGATGCCTTCCTCTGCATTCACACACGAATCAGCTTAGGGCACCCCCCCAACTCATCCAAGCAGTTCTATTCCAGACTTCAAGATATTGCCCCTCCTACTGTCACTCTGGAACATTCTCCCCCTCCCCAAACACGCACACACCTGGTGCCCTATAGAGACCCTAAGACTACAACTCCCAGGCTCCCCATCCAGGAAGAGGGCTTCTTTTGTTCATCGGGTGGCTGCTCCACGGCAGGAAAAAGACCCGTCCCAGCACTTCCATGACTGTTTGATCGCTTCTCCGCTCCCTCTGACATCAAGGATGCTGCTCATATGTAATATGGGAAAATAGGTAGAAAATAGGGAGCCCCACAGGCACCCTTCAAATGGTAGAAGATGATGCCATGAAATAGCACAGCAGAAACATCACCTGCCATTTCCCGTCTCTGAAGAGAGGAAGGAATGACAGCCCAAAACCTTTTGGTCAGTCCACCCCACCTGCCTCTAACCAGCAGGAGATGCAAAGCATGGCGGGTGCCAGTTGCCTGTTTTTTACTTTTAATCATAGAACTAATGGAGATGGAAGAGGCTTCAAAGGCCATTGAGTCTAAACCTCCCCCCCTCCCCACTCAAGGCCAGGATCCAGATCCAAGCAGATCTCACAATTGCCCCTTGAAGGCCGTCAGTGGTGGAGCCCTCAGCACCTCCCGCAGCCATGGGCTCTATGGTCGTATACTGCTCTAACAGTTGAGAAGGTTTTCCTGATATTCACCTGAAATCTGGCTTCCTATGACTTGAGGCCATGGTTATGTGTCCTGCCTTCTGGGATGACGGAGGACAGATCCTGCCCCTTCTCTGCAGGGCTACTTTTCAAGGATTTCAGAAGTACTATCCTCTCTCCCCTCATTAGTCTTCTTTTCTCAATGCTCGACATGCTCAGTTCTTTCCGTCTTTCCTCCTAGGGCTTGGTTTCCAATTCCCCCCCCCCTCCATCATCTTTGTGCTGTCAAATTTCATCCCACTTATGGAGACCCTATAAAGGTTTGCCCCATACATGAGATGTCCAAGAAGTGGTTCCCCACTGCCAATCCACTCAGCCACTCACCCACCCAGTCAGTTTCCACTGTCAAGGTGGGATTCAAACCCAGGTCTCCTGAATCTTAACCTACCCGCTATGCGAGTGGCTCCAGCCTTCCGTCACCCAGTGGTTCTTGGACGGCAACTCCCAGAAGCTTTCTCCACCAGCTGTGCTGGCCACGGTTTCTGGGAGTTGCAGCCCAAGAACATCTGTTGGTAGCCACTACACCATACTGATTTTGCCCCCAAGATCCCCCCCCAATTAGGACAAGAGAGGAGCAGGAAATATTCTGCCAAACAGAGCTTAAACTGAGACTCATTTCCGAGTCTGGAGCTTCCACTCTACGTGTGTGCACAGTGCATTTCTCTGAGCCCTACCACCTGCATACAACAGCATGAGCCCTAGAGGTCTTCCAGAGAGGTCCTGGCATCCTTCACAGAAGTTCTCCCAACCACCCACCCAACCACGCATC